CTGTAAAAGGAGATTGTAATAGCAAAGGGAGGGCAGGCTCAAGTATAATTTGACACAAAGTGTGGTTTTATTTTTGTACTGATATGGATAAGAGACTGTACAGCATCTATTTATTTAGATGATTTATGTGGTAAATGTTGCAAACAAAATTATTAAAATATTAAATATGAGAACTGACATTTACCTAATGGTCTGTTTGTGTGGTCATTTACCTCCCCTTACTTTAATTCTACAGCTGAGTTATTTTTCACCCGTCTCTTCTGTTGGTATAAACATGCAGTGTGGCTGGAAAAAAAATGGAAAAGGTGTGTGCGTGTGTGAGAGAGATCAGTAAAGAAGTATCAATGAAGAATGGAGCCTGCAAAAGACTGTTTCTGACATTACTCATTACTTTAATTCAAGGAGGTTAGGTTTTTAATTAATTTTTAACCCACTGGGTAAGTTAGAGCTGTACAGAGGTGACCTGGGATGGTTGGTCTTTAATGGATTAGAATTTGAAGAGGAGAACGCCAGTGGCAGGGTGACTGCTGCTCTGGATTTAGGGACCTCTTGATGTCCTCACGTGATGCTCCAGTGCTAGGACAGCTCTGCCAGCACCAGGAGAGCGCTGGTGTGCCCCATATCCTGTATCCCTTGTGGGAACAGAAGATCTGAGGTGAGGTCTGGGCTGCCAAACATGCTCTGCTCTGGTTGCCAGTGGGGAAGCTGCTCTCCAAGCCAAAGCCTCTGGTGGGTTGGCCTGCAGGGCTTTTGAGGAGCTCTCCAGGAACACAACAGCTCCTGAGTGGAGTTTGGTCCCTGATTCACTGCAGGTAACATGAGGCTTAGCTGAGGAGCTCGAATCCTGGATCCTGCCAATGCTCCATGGAGAGAATTCCAAATGTCATTTTGTCCACTTTAGTTTCTGACTAGTTCACTCAAGAGAGAGGCTAGCTGTTAATTGGGGTGCCTCAGCAAATGAATGGAGCTGATGCCTTTAGTAGGTGTAACGTGGGGCTGAGCCCTGCATCCGAATGCAGCTATGACGTCAATCACAAAAGCATGCGGAGCAAAAGCAGAGGGGGATGGGGTGTATTTCCTGAGTCGGTCATGGCTTAGGGCAGCTGCGGTTAGGTCTTGCCAGTGTTACCAAAGCACAGACAGCGTGCTTGCCCTGAGCCAGGGAGGCTGGATTTGAGTGATGGCATCGGAGCAGACTCCAGCCAGCCACTTACTTTCTGGCAGCAGCTAGTGAGTCAGGTGAAGTTGTAAGGAACTGCAGTGCAGTTACGGGAAAGCCTACTCTGAAGATTGTGTGCTCCTACCCCTGCCAATGCTGCAGAGGCTGGCTGGCGCTAGAAACTCATAACGGCTTGTCCTTTCACATGCATGTGTTGGTTGGATTAAAGGATAATCTGGATAGTACTTTGGGTTTTTTTCTAATAATCTGTTGCACGCTGCTTCCTTGATCCATGCAGTGCAGGTGGCTTGCCTTGTGAAGCTCTCCCAGTAGGATACCCAAGAACAAGGGCACTTAGCTGCACTGCAGGATGTGCCCCTGGGCCCCTGCTTTGGTAGGCAGCACCCAAAAGGCGAAACCACACGGTGTGAGCATCTTGGTGTTCTCCAAGAAGCGTGGAATGAAATGCAGCCTCCGTGGCCCCTACAATGGCAAGTGCTGTCGGGAAGCTGGTAGTCACCCCCTGCCTATTCAGCACCATTCATCTTCCCTGCTTTTGGTCCTTCTCTTGCTCGCCAAGTGATTGTTTTTGAAGCAAGGATGCAAGAAGCCTGCAGGACTTGTGTAATCACCCCGATCCAGCAGCAGACTGGGTGGCTGGGCCCGTTTGGGAACTCCCAGGTGGGCCCCAGGGATATGGGAGTACCCCAGTGGCATAGGCACTGCATGAACTCCATGGGCCGCCTCCTCTCTCCGCTACAGCAGAAAGTTACTGGCCTGGAGGGGTAGTTGTTCTGGCCCCACTGAGCCACCCAGAACCGCTGCACAGGGGGGTGGGTACACAGTCAGCTCTGAGGGGTCTGTCTTTGCTCTTGCATGTTGCAGAGTTGCAGCTGGGAAATCCTACTGTGTGTTGACATGGATGAACCCCCCAGCGCCAATGGTTTGCTTCAAAAACAATGCAGTGTTTGCTTGCAGGGCTGGGGTGTGTGCAGCTGCATCAGCTCCTGGTGTAGGTGAGGGAATGACTGTTTCTTTACTGAAATCTGCTGCTCCTGACAGTGACCTCCCTAGACCAAACAGCAATGGAGTTGGTTGATCAACCCTTGGAGTTGTTCTAATGGAGATAAACACTGATACTCCTGCCGGGTCATGGGTCTGCAAAAAACTGAACGTGGAAGGAGCTACCAGCTTTGAGCAGGTGAGTTTCTCATTATCAAGTGCCATTTAAAAAAATAAACAAAAATGTTCTTGCACCAGCTGCTGTCCACCCATGCTCATACACCGCTTGCCAGTGATTTTGGTGAGAAAGGTCTTGCTCCCTCAAAGCTTACTGCTTCCCTGCACTGGCTTTTCTGTGCTAGCAAGAAGTGCTGTGGTGTATCCTACGGCACCAGGGTCTTGCAGGCAGTAACGCACCAAAATAATTTTGTATTTCAGTGTTCGTAGTGAACAATAGCTGTTCTGAGAGCGCCATCTTCCAGGTTGGTTTTGGTTTGTTATTTTGGTTTTTGTTTTTTTTAAAGTGTTTTACTGGAAATGTGAATGAAACAAAATACTCAACAGTGCTCTGAACAGCTGGGTATTCTGCTGCTACTTCGCCTTCTAAGAATAAAAGTTAGATGAAAGAGCCCAGTGTTGGGCAGTACAATGGATGCTGACCATGATTTGAGCAGTTGCCATAGCTGGAAAGAGGGTCTGGATGAAAAGAGGATCCTGCTGATAAGTGGAAGGAGAAAATAACTAGAAAGAGCACATGGAGCTCTCCGAAATGCTGCTGCCCCTTCTGGGCCACAGATCGGGGGTGCCCTGTGCGTCTACCCTGAGGTGAGGTGTGCTGCTTGTGACCCCTATGTCTGTTTGGGGACAAGGCCATCAGTCACAGCTGCTGCCTGTGTGCCTGCATAAGGACTCCCCCTATTTGATTTGCGAGTGCCTGCTTTTTTAGGGTGGATGATACCGATGGTTGGAAGTTCAATTATTTGATGCTCATCCACAAGTGTAAAAGCAGTTGTTTAAACGAAGTGAACAGTAACAATACACCAATTTAAATGTGGATGGTGTTAATGAGCACTTAATGTGCTAAGTTAAAAGCAGTTAAAAAAGTCTAAAGCAATATGCAACACCTGATCGACTTGTTCTTTTGAAGTCACCTTCAAGCCTATAAAGAACTGAGATTTTTAAAAGCGGTGCCTAGAGAAACAGGGCAGTCCAGAAGGACTTGTTCCATTCTAGGTAAAAGTCTGAGGTTTTGTTCTCTGTTGGCCTGTGATAGTAAATACCTGAGAAAGGGCCACTTACAGCCTATTCTCGAAGGAAATTATATGACCTAAATGTAGAATTATCGGACCACGGTTCAGTCCCTGACCACAGAAATGCCGTGTTCTCTGCATTGTGCGCATCTCCTGAACCAGGGTCCATGTGACTGTCCGTTGGCCTCTTGTCAGCATTCAGCAACCTCTCTCCATCCACCTTGCTTCAAATGAGGACAGGTGGCGAGGAATGCATCCTTCTCTGAATCACTTTTCCTCTGCTCAGAGAGCTTGTGGTGGCTGCAACTGTGCAGCTGCCAAGGTGAGAAAGAACAAAATGCTACAACAGATCTTGCCTGAGTCCCAGGCAGTGAGGAAACCTTGCTCTCCTACCTGCTCACCTTGCTGTTGGGAAACCCGTCCCTGCTCATACTGACAAATACAGCCATTTCCAGAAAACTGTCCTTCTGGGTAGAACTTCTGAGCCAGAGGTGTAAAGGGAAAGCGAATGCAAATGGAGAAAGAGTTAGCAAAGACCCGAGGGGCTGTGAGTGCTCCCTGCCAGGCCAGCTGAACAGCAGGAGGCAGAGAGGTACCGATGCTCTGCGGGTAGCTGGTGAGGTCACGGGGTTTGGGAAAGAGCAGTGAAAGCAAGTTGGCCAGTGCCTACAGCCCTCCTCACAGCTCCCCCTTTTCCCAGAAGGTATCATTCTGAAATGCACCCCCTCCTCAGCCTAGAAATGAAGGCAAAGCAGAACACGCTGTTCTGCAGTGCCAGGTAGTACCGTCAGGTAATGGAGGGCCATGAGCTCCATGTGAAGACAGCTGCAGGGCCATCACCTTCCATTTTGAATCAGAGAGACTGTTTTTTCCTTTCTTTTTAGCACCTGTAAGAGAGTGTAAAGCACAGTGCAAATTAAGTAGGATTTTGCAGTAACACTCAGAGCAGGGAACTCCTCGGTGACTGAACATTTTTTCAATTTTTTTTTTTTTTTTTTTGGTTAAGGTTTATGTAGCATGCTTGGCCCATTTACCTGGCAGTACCTTAAAATGGCTCAAAAATGAGAGCACATATAAGCGCCAACCAAAAGGAAACAAACAAAACCCGGATTTAAGCACCTTTATTGCTAGATTTTTGCCTGGGTAGGTACTTTAAGACTGGCCACTTCCCCACGTACCCTGCGCTGGCCAGAAGCGGGTGACGGTGCATCTGCGTATGCAGAAGGAAGGGAGGAGTCTGCGCGGGCCCCGCTGCCGCCATTGCTTTAAGTAAAAAAAAAGGGCCCGTTCGGGCGGGAAGGGGCTGAGGCGGCAGAGGTCTGCCAGGCCGCCTGCCCTTCCCGCCCCCTCGCGAACCGCTCGCCGCTGGCTCCCGGCCTCGCTCGCTGTCCCGCGGGGCAGAGGCCACGGGTGTCCCCGTAGGGGCGGACGGCGG